CCCATCAACTGAGCCCTCTTTTCATTGTGTCTATATGTTTGAATTAAACAGAGACGACGAGTGGCGGGAGCTGGTGGTACTTGTCTGGAGCTAAACTTGAGTCTGCTGCCTACTTGGGTTCCCCTGGCTTTTCAGGGGGAGATTTACCTCCTGCCTCTTGCTGTCATGTATGAAGGGAAAGGGGGCTCAGATCAGAAGGGTGCCATCTCCCCAGCATCACGACCTGGCATTAGCTGATCTAAATCCCCAGCTTCCTGGTGGAGGAGAGTCGTCAGGCACACCTACAAATCACTTGGAGCCTCAGATCCTCGTCTACAATCCTTAATAATCCTAAACCCCACATCAGAATGAAAGGAAACACTATTGACAATTACGAAATACTAAATATAGCTCAATACATTTAAAAATGAATAATGGTAAAAGCCTTGAAACATGTTTCTTTGATGTGAATGGAGTCTTTGGCATTTGGAAATACAATAAGATGAATTAATTGCTCCTCATTACAGGGAAGTCAGGCGAAGTGTGAATGTGCCTTCTCTCCTCTGCATTAGCTATTGCCTGACTGAAATAACCCCCTTTTGTATTTACTCCAGCTTTCTCTAATAATAAGCAAATTGGAGATCATGGCTAGAAAATTCAAGTGCCCACCATCCTTTCTCCAAAACCCTCACAGAGTTTTGTGATGTTTATCTGATCAGGGGCTACTGTTAATAATTGTAGAGGTCATGTGAATCCACATAGTGCAAGATTAGAAACAACATCTGCAAAATTACTTTAGGGAAATACTCTGTGCTTTATCTTTTTCTGTAAAAGTGATTTTGCAAGCAAATTGTTGTCTTTCCTCTCTTGCACTACATTTTATATTGCTGGGAAAAGTGTAATTGGAGAAAAACATTTAATAGCTATCAAGAGCTTTGGAATCCATGGTCTTGTCTTTTTTTTTTTTAACTTTATATATTTTTCCTGATGTATTGGTGGAATTCCACATGAATAAATTAGATTGGAGTCTTTAAATTCTGAAATCATGGCCCCCAAATAAACTGTTTGGACTATATTGGTTTAGTAGGCTGTTCACTAAAATGCGATACATGACAGCTATAATATTATACATGCAAGCATGTGACCTTTTTATATTATCTTTTTATTATGATTGCTGTGGTTAAGGCCTACAAATTACGAGATAATTGATTCCCCCAGAATCCTCAAAAGCTGGGGAAGCAGAAGAGTGAGGGGAACAAGACTCCCATACGATCCAGAAACCGATTCATACAATGTTCTTGAGCTGGAAGAGCACACCTCTCCAGATGTGCGTTTGTGATGTGGCTGCCTTCCTGTCATGTATATTACGTGTAGACATTTTCCAAACGTACATTTTAACGTGTGGAACCCAGAGTTGTAGTGGCACCCTTGCTCTGCTTCATGAAATATGAAAGCATGTTTACTTAGTAACAGTAACAATTTGAAAGGTTCGGGGCTGAGGCGTTTATGCATGGCACAGCCTGCTGATCCCCAGGTGGCTGAGGTAGTGAGGCCATTGAACCGGGGTATACCAGAAATTGGACAGGGAGGAAAGTCAAGTGGGTACTGAGACATGCACCCCAAGTTAGAGTGCTTGGTCTGCCCTCATTCTCAGATCAGATGGGCCATTTGTTCCCTAGCACCCCGTCAACAGTCTTAGACCCACGTTGTCTGCTCCATAAACATTTTCCACGTTTCAGGTCATGGGCTTGAGTTAGTGGTCAGTTAGAAAAGGAAGATTTGCCTTTTCTGTCCTTAATCCCCAAGCAGTCACCTTTCTTGTGGCCTCATTCTTTATAATCTTAGGGACAGAGTGGCTTAAAATCAGTAATAAGGGGTCAGTGTGAAGTTGTCTGAGCTTTTTCCTGGGACAAATCTTTCTTGTTCATGCATGCTCATATGTATACATACACATACTCAGAGTGTTTCCTGTAAGATATCATAAACAATAACTCAGCATTGACTTAAAACAGTTTTTCAAAATAAAACAGTGTTCTCATCCTTCGTAAAGCTCATCCACATCTCAGAAACGTTGGTATGAAAACATTTTAGAATAACATTAATATAGTAAACGAAGGTAGCATATATTTTTGAATTTACTTAAGTTTCAGTGTTTGGATAGATTAGCGATACCCCAGCCCCCCCCCCCCCCCCGTCTTCCCCCTTTAATCTGGGGTATAAGAGGGGAGGATAGAGTGGAATGTTTAAAAGTCCAGGATATTAGACTAGAGTGACACATAGAAACAATTTACTCAGTTCTGACACTTAGAGTTATAATTTCTTCAAAGCCAGGCATGTATCTCTAGGCTGAAAATGACAATTTAGAGATCCATTGAAATCTGTCAGCCTGGCATCATTCTGTACTCCCATTTCAGGATAAGTGGGTCTACAGCCAGGCTCTCAGTTCTGATTTTGAGATCTCCCTGGCGGTGCTTATTATCTGCAGGGTTACTTTAGGTTTTAAACAGAAAAATATTAATCCTTTTAATTTCTAAATGTATATCATGTATATCATATATAAAGGGAAGATGTGATCAAATTAAATGTGTAGTCAGAGCATCTCCACTCCAAAAGGTAGGAAATCACTGGTATAGACATTTTAGTCCATTTGCAGAAAATTGCCTATTCTCAAGTAGGTAGGTCAAGTGCAGAAAGAACCTCTACTTGAGATAAAATTTCCTCTCCACACTTGGCTTTCTCTCTATTAGGATAGGCGGCCAAGAGCTGCCCAAATTTTAACATTCTGTTCTCTTTTCACTAGTGGTTTTTTTGGCTATATATATTAAGATGTATTTGCTTATAGTAGAACTCACACTCATAGCTACAAATACTTTTAGAGCTAGAAGGGCTTTAGAGAATAGAGTGCAACTCTTTATTTTGTAGAAAGATAGAATGTGTTAAATGACTTGCCCAAGATAATACAACCCACTAATGTCAGATAGAGACTGGTCTTGGCAGGTTTGCCTTTTCCTGACAGAGAGCAAGTTGGTGTGTTAGAAGCAATTGATTTGCTCTTCTGCTTTGGAACTTTTGTTTTCATTCAGGTACCTCCTAGAATGCTGGCTAACAAGAGAGTCAAAACTTAACTTTAACAACAACAACAAAAAAGACCATGTTCTGAAGCTGTGTGACCTAAATAGCAAAGCTGGTGACTTTTCTCCTTTCCTCATTTCTACTCATTTCCACTTGGACCTGAACTTTCAATTCCTGAGTCACTCCACCCAAGTGTGCACAAATGTGCTCTGTATTTGGGCGGGCAGAATCACCCCTGTCATCAGCATTTCATAAACACAAAACTCTCAGGTCTGAGAGAGGCCTCATGACGTACTTTTGGAATAGAGCCAAGCCCACAGCTCTTTTGTAGTTTTTCCTCAATTTGCATCAGCCGGGCAGGCAGGAAGTCTGGGCTGCCATTTTCCCAGCTCCCAGCCTGGTCCCTGGAGAAGCTGTAAGGTTTGTTCCTTGTTGGAGAAGGCACCTATGATTACACCTATGCCACTAATTCAATTTCAGAAATCAACCTTGAGGGTGTTGATAACCTGTCATTAGGGATTAAGTGGCTTGGGGGCTGGAGTCCAAAGTGACATGGTCCAAAGAGAAACCAACCAGTTTGAATTGATGTCAAGGTACTCTTGATAGAGTAGGGAGTAAATGTGACAGAAGCCATGTTTTCTGTTCATTATACATGGATTACCCTCTGAGGGGGTGACAGGGCAGGTGGCAGGTGAAACCACAGGACCAGCTAAGAGTAGACTGACTGGTGCTAAGACCTATATGTGTCAGGCTCAGTTTGGCTTTAGGGCATTTGTACACACCCAGTCCATCATAAAATTCCAGACTTCAAGATTTGTCTTTTTTCCAGCATCTCAGTATCTGAAATGTTTTAGATCTTTTTTAGAAAGTTACCAGAGAAAGCTAGCTTTAGGCTAGAGCATTCAGCAGATTAGCAAATGGAGTGTCAGCTCAAAGAAAGCCATCTGACCAGAGGTGGCGAAAGCCTCATTCTAGTCATCCGTGGCCGTTCCTTTGGGGACCAGTCATCCTTCAGCCTTCCAGGGCCCTCATGGTGGCATTCAGTGACAGCACATTACCTTACAGATGCTCATAATGACCGTGTGCATCCCCAAAGAGCTGTTCCAGGAGGCTCATATTTCTTCAGTTGAGATCTAGAGAAATGTGTAAAAATGTTGTAAAAATGTATGAAGTGTTAGGCTTTTTTTCAAGGGTTAATAGAAACTTTTTGAAAATTCACACGGTGTTCCGGGCAGTTATGGGGCAAAGTGTTGTCTAAGCCATTTGGGGAGCACTGAATCGATCTTTCTTAGAAGCCCCTAGTAGTTGTGTTCTAGGCTTTGATTTTTTTTGTTTTCTTGTTCCCCTTTTGGCCTTGCCTTTGGCACTTCAGCATGTTTATTCATCACCTTTGGGTGAACCTGTAAACACTGAAGCCACCTCTGTGCTGGTACTCAGTGTCTTACCTGAAGCTCCCCTTGACTTTTACTCCCTGTCTGAACACTGAATGGCAGTCGTGGAGGGCACTCTTGTTAAAATCTTGATGTCACCATTTTGTTCCTGCTTTGATGGAGTCTGGGCCAGGTAGATTTACACACTTTCTACTAGCAGCCAGGAACCTTGACATGTTTACCAAGTAGGAAGCCCTGCCTGCATCATGAGGGCCTGTCCCCCACCAGGGGTCTGACCATTTCTCCATCTGCCCTGGGGAAACCACAGAACCTGCTCTAAGGAGTTGGGAGTCGTCTTTTATTGTTGCCGGTATTGGTAATTGCCCTTCTAGATATCTGGGTCATACATTCCTCCTAAAATGTGAAAAAACAAAAACAAAAAACAACCCACACTCCTACGCATTTTATTATACCCCAGATTGTGTGTTTGTATACATATATATATTTTTAACTGAAGAAGAAAAATAACCCTGCCTTTGTACGCAATCCTTTTAACAAATTGTTTATTGTTGTATCCAGGTGACAAGCATGGTAAGTATTTTCACCAAATTGAGTATTCTGTATTTTAGCTGTGCTTGGCAGACTTTTTGGCTAGCTTTGTGTTATCAGCCTTGGCTTTTCTAGAAAAGATCCATTTAAGTAAAGGAGAAACCACTTACCTGGTAGCATCCTCTGTGTCCTCAGCTACAAAAAGAACCCGTGTAGCCTTAGACCCATGGCGGGGATACCCAAGAGCGCATGCGCCCCGCCAGCATGCTGCTTGGCCGGACATCGCCCCCACCCGCCCCTCTGCTTCTAAGCCCCGCCCCCAGGTGTCTGCCAGGGCTTCCAGGCCTTGCATGACTCCAGCAGCTCCTGGGACTGTGCCCCTTGACAGCGCACATAGCCAGGGCCTCCCCACACTCTGGATGACCCTGCCCCAGATCCACAACTGCGCCTCTTCTCCCCCCATCACCTCCCTGCCCCCCCATGTATATGCTTAAAAGCAGGGCCTTTTTTTTCCCCTTGAGTGTGTTAAGTAATTGGAGAATGCTCCCTTTGGAAGCTGGAAAAATAAATACAATTGTCTGCTCTTCTCAGAGGCTTCCCATTCTGTTGGAAAATGGATTAACAAAATTTTTTAAGAAAACTTACCACTGGGTGTTCTCAGTGAATTTTCAGAGTTACTGTAGGTTGAGTGTGTTTTAGCCTTCTGGCTGTGTTTATTTATTCGTGCATGTTTGCTTTTCCAGCCTCTTTTGTGGCTCTGTATTTTAGTCCATGTGCTCGTGGCTGTGCCTGTGTAAGCTGCCTGGTAGCCATGCGTTATGTATTAAGTTTGTATGTCACTGTCACCTTCAAGGATCAGACTGCAAAGGATAAGGCACTTCAGCATATGGCTGCCATGTCGTCAGCCCAGATCGTCTCGGCCACTGCCATTCACAACAAGCTGGGGCTGCCTGGGATTCCACGCCCCACCTTCCCAGGGGCGCCGGGGGTGAGTCACAGGCCAAATCCAATGATGGCCCCTAGGGCCATGGGGTCTCCGTCGGCCAGCATGACGCTGTCCGCCTGGCACTTGTGATTGGGTCAGGTGTAAGAGAGGGAAAAGACCATTTCGTGGTGAACTGATGCTGGGTGCAAAAAAGGTGAAAGAAAGGAAGGGAAGGAGGCAGAGAGAGAGAGAGAGAGAGGGAGAGAGAGAGAGTGTGTGTGTGAGAGAGGAAGAAGGGATCCTTAGTCCTTGAAGATATGGAATTAAGTATCACTTTTCCAGTGCCCTTCTAGGTTGTGATCTATCTCTTCTGCTGTATTTTTTTTCTGGCCCTTGATATCTGTTCCTGTGTCCTCAGGATCACTTTATGGCAACTAGCCCTTAAAGAGACAAAGTATTCTATTAACATTTTTGTTTTGTACTTACCAAGGGCTGAGAAGCTTAACATTATGATCTCATTTAATCCTCATAATAATCTTAAATGCCTCTTATTGTAATTGCCATTTTGCAGATGAGAAAACTGAGGTCACTAAGTAACAAAACAAGTTTTTGGGTAACTTGGTCATAAGCCTATGGCTAATGACATAAGGACTTAAACCCAGGGCTCTGTGACTACCTTTACACAGTGCTACCTCCCCAGCCGGGGTTGGCAGGCACCGAAAGCCTCAGGAAATCTCGCAGCAAAGGAGTGTCTACACTGCTGCTGGGCGCTCCCGGCCACTTGTTCTGAGCTTTGTCCTTTCCCTGGCTGGGCCCTCAGTGCTGTGAGCCATAGAGGCAGAATATTACACACGGAGCATTTCAAAATGGAGGGGGGAAGAGGAGGATGGGAGGGTGCATGAATAGAGCAGTCAGATGAAATATTTGTGAACCCTCTGCAGTGTACCCAGATCTCTGCCAGGTGTCAGGAGAACACAGACACTGCTGCTGGGTTGCTGTCCTTGGGGATTATCTGGAAGAGGAGCTAGAGGGAGCCCTGGGCTGCCAGACAAAGGACCTAGGTTCCAATGTTTCGCACATCAGTGACCACATCTGCATTTCGGGAGGGTCAGCTTGCACCTGGTAGATGATCTGAACCTGCTCTTTAGCAGAAGTTGCAATGTATAGACGTCCTGAACTGTGCTTTCACATGAACTCATAATCCTGAAGCCTCTTGCATTTTGCTTTCCAGTTCTGGCCGGGAATGATACAAACAGGGCAGCCAGGATCCTCACAAGAGTAAGTCTGAGGTGGGACTGGTGCTGACAACAGGGGCTGGTCACCGTCCACTCTGGGAGGCATTTTTCTGGGACCAGGCTGCCTCAGGGCTTGTAGGGGAAAGGAGATTTAGCCTGAGATCACCGAAGTCATCCCCCATTGTTATTTACTGAGGCCAATAGCAGGAAAGAGACTGCTCAGATCCAGGGGACATGTAAACACCTCACTCCCACCTTACGTTTAATGGTCATCCAGCTGGAAATAGGAAGCGAGTCCCTGTCCCCTCATGGCTTTGAAGGGCAGAGCCTGGGCTCTTCTGAGAAGTGCCTGCCCGAGATGGAGGGCAGTGGATGTGATCCTATAGCTCATCCTGTTCTGGCTTTCCCTGTGGTGGGCGGCTAATAGAAAATCCTGCTGATGCTTTGAGGGCCGGGGAAGCAAACTCAGTAAACCGGAAGATAAAGGCAGTCAGGGGATAAAAGCAGAATGGAAAGTCTGCCCCTATATTCTCAAAAGAACTTGAGCTGTTTGGCCTAGAGAAGAGCCTGAGTATGTGCCAAACCTTGCCTGGAAATGGCAACTACTGACCTTAGTCTCTGCAGGGACAAGAGAGTTTAAGAGGTAGATGTCTAGCTTGTCCCACGGAACTGGCATGAGGCTGGTGGTTTGGTCCTCAGCACCCTGCTGGCCCCCCTCAATTGGAAACAGTAACTGTCTCTGTCTTGGTGGAGCTCAGCCTGGGCTGTGCTCCCACCTGCAGGCAGGGTACCTCACAGTGGGGAGGACTCCAGGTTGGGTCCCTAGCTCTGAGAGGCCAAGGCCAGGCCTGGGGAGTAGCCAATGCTACAGTCACTGTTTCTAACTCTCTCAATTCTTCTGTCCCCAGTGTCAAGCCCTTCGTGCAGCAGGCCTACCCCATTCAGCCAGCCGTCACAGCCCCCATTCCAGGTGAGTCTCTGTGGGGCTCCCTCTCATGTTGTTCCACAGCCACAGGTCCCTCCTTGCCCCCATCTTCTTTAAGGCAGGGTTAGCCTGGAGCTCAGGAAGGTCACAGGTGTGTCCCCTCCCAGGTCCCTGATTCCTCCCAGTCACCGGCTGAGAGCTCTTTGGATGGGTTTCTAAGGAAGCAGGAAGCTGATCACTTTCACTCAGTGCCCTATGTCATCCTTGGAAGGGGAAGTTGCTGTGGTTCCTTCTTCATCGTTAACAGGCTGAATTGGGCAGTCCAAGTTCTGAGGGCAGATAGGGTTGTATTCACCCTTTCTTGGATAAATAGGTCTCAATTCCTACTACCCTTTCTTTAAAGGACAGCTTACATGGAATCCCAAACTAGAGATCATGAATTTGTCCAGCCCTCCCCACCACACACACGTGCACATAGAATTTACTTAGTGGCGCTGCTCCCCATTGCAGGGCACCCGAACTAAAAATGCTCTCTGCTCCAATACCGTGGAGTGTTCTGGGAGAATGTTCTATAGTGCTGGTGACTTCAATCTTAAGAAAGGAGTTGGACAAACACAAGAACTGTCCAGCATGTGCTGGGCTCACAGGAGATCTTTACAAGCATTCACTTCTACTCTTCAGTCACTCTCGCCTTGATCCCCAGCTAAGCCCCTTTGTCCAGGATTAGGTGTCCTCATGCCACAGCCCATAACCTGAGCTGAAGTTGGCTTTGGAAGGAGCCACATGCATTGTGCTTCTCTGGGCCACTGCCTCTGGGATCCTTGGCCAGAATTCCCCCGTTGCCTAACTTAGTTGCACCCCTAGATGCTGGTGGAGCAGAATGCTGGCCTGTCCTCCTGGGTCATCCATTTTGTAGGGCCCTACCCCAGTCCTAGCCTGAGGCTCGAGGGAAGGCGAGTGGCCAGCACTAAAGGTGACGATTGGTCTTTCAGGTTTTGAGCCTGCGTCAGCCCCAGCTCCCTCAGTCCCTGCCTGGCAGGGCCGCTCCATTGGCACAACCAAACTTCGCCTGGTGGAATTCTCCGCTTTCCTCGAACAGCAGCGAGACCCAGACTCGGTGAGTGTCCTCAGAGAGGTGTGCCTTGAATCCAGAATTTGCTTCCATCCCCGTTCACCTTCGCTCTCCTTTTCTCTGCCCTTGTGCCTGACAATTATCCTGTGTGAACACAGACCTGGGGAGGAATAGCCAAGCAGCCTTTCCATTAAGTGAAAAGGTATTTCCATTGGCAAGTCTGTAGAACTTCAGAGCTGAATGGTTATAGATGCTCTGGCCCTGAACCTCCAGGAAATTCTGGAGCTGAAGGGAAGGGTCTTACTAGGCTCTTGCATTGGGTAAAAGTTAACATTTATGGAGTCTTGCCATATGGCTGGTACTGGCAAAGCTATTTATATATACAATCACATTTGATCCTCACTGAAACCTTATAAGGGCAGGTGCTGGCTGATAGATGAGGAAACAGAGAGGTTAAGTAATGTCCCTAAAGTCACACGTTAATATCTGATGGATTAGAGATTCAAACTCATGTCTTTAAAACTCACGCCTAAACATTTAGCCCTTATTCTATATTGCCTTTCCAAGTCTGTGTTTTCTCAAGATAGCAAGTCGTTATCTTTTTAAGGAGAAGTAGCAAGATGGTACTTTAACCGTTTGACGTAGAATGCGGTGCCCTATAATATCACAGATGCCAGTAAGGTTGGCGCCTGGACGCTGTGTGTTGTCTCCCCCTCCCCATCGAGTGCCCATCGTCCCCTTGTTTCTCAGCCAGGCCCAGCTTTCCTTATACATATGTGAGCCTCCCCTCCTTCCCCACCCAGCAAGCTCAGGACCCTTCCCTCACGCCCACTCTTTGGCTGTGAGTATGAGCACTGCATCTGTGTGTGGGTGAGCCCAAGGCAAAAATTGAAGAAATCGTGAGTTTGTCTTTGGGATCTTCCCCAACTCCTTCCCGTATTGCCTCTCATCTGCCCGGCTAATCTCCAGGGCCACCCAGAGCACAGAGACGCCGTGCTCTCCACTCTCTTATCAGGAGAAAGTGTCATGAATGAGTTCACCAGCTGCTGTAAATAACTCAGATACTGAGCCATGGCAGGTGAGCTCTCCGGGGAGTGTTCGTACGTGAGCTCGACGGAAAGCCTGTGTTGATAGGATGGGGGAAACGCCATAGGCAGAGGGGCCTCCACCAGCCATCCCCACAGTGGAGACTCAGGGGAACCCAGTGTAGCCCACTGACACTTCTGTCTATGAATTGTGAACTCGGGGAGCTGGTAGAAAAATAGAGCCTGCTCCAAAACAAAGGGAAAAAAATGTAGAAAGCGAGGTAAAGTAGGTCATTGGGTCCATCAAAGCATGTATAGGAAAATGAGGTTATTGAAAACAGGGAATTTCGTAAAAACATTGAGGAAAAGTAAAATAATAATGCTTTTACCTCCAAAAAAGAAAGAAAACAGGAAGAGAAGGGCAACTGGATCACTCTTCTCAAGTGGCTGAGTGGTTTTATAGGAAGGGTGGTGATGATGGCTTAAATCCCTATCTGTTGGGGCACTGAAATAAATAAGATTACTTCTTGATTCTAGGCTGCTGCTCCTTTCTGAGAAGTGTAGGTGATTCTTTGGCTGAAGGCTTTGCTTTGGCCTAGATGATGCTTCTGCTTTTCATAACTTGTTTGTTTGATACCTCATGGCCTACACACTACTTTGTCATTGGTCATTTCATTCTATTCTCATAGTGCCATGAGGTAGATTCTGTTTTCCCCATTTTACAGGCGAGGAAACTGAGGCCCAGACACATTAAATGGCTCACTCAAGATATTTAGCCAATAAGCAGAGGGACCAGGAGCCCAAATATCCTGTTTCAATACGTTCTTTTACACTACTGCAAACCACCACCAACTATCAAGGTCTCTCAACCCATGTATTCAGTCTGCATATCTCTTGTGTGAACAAATCTCTCTTTGCTTGTTACTATTTTATTTTTTGCTAGGAATAGAATTCCAAGGCACTGGGAAACAAAATTTGCAAGATGGTTGTTTCCCTGGTTAAAAGACTGGAATATTTTATCACAGTAAAAAATAAATAAATAAATAAATAAATAAATAAATTTAATTTTAAAGCTCATGGCAGCCCCTTCATTGGGCCTGTCCTCCTCAGTTATGGACCTATAGGGCCTAGAATGCCCAGTTCCTTCTGTTGTTGTTAGTGTTGTTGGGCTTCACACTGTGAACACTGATAGACTCACTCAGTCCATTCTATAATCATTTACGAGCCCCTGCACGTGCATGGCGCCATACCCAGGAGCAGCTGCGGTCTCCGCCCTTATGGAGTGTGTCATCTCCTGAGGAGACACACTTGAAGCAGTAATCACACCGGAGGTCATTGCGAAGTGTGGTGACTTCTAGGAAGGAAGAATATTGGATGCTGGGATGCACAGGGAACAGACAGGCTTCTTTAAGGAGTAACCCTTACTTTGAGAGGTGGAGGATTAGGGCCGGCCGAGTGGCTCAGTTGGTTAAGAGCTCACTCAAGAGTTTGAGCTCTGAGCAACAGCGGTTCGAGTCCAGCCCGAGCTGAGCAGCCGCTGAGCTGCCAACAGGTAGCAGGATGGATCAGCTTAAAAAAAAAAAAAAAAAAAAGTGAGAGGTGGAGGATTGCTATGGCCATGAGAAGAAGGAGGGAGAATATTTCAGAGGTTGATGACTCGGGGGTATGAAAGCAGTAAGTGAAGGCTGATAGATAGTTTTAAAGGCAGAGCCCACCATTTCCTTAGCATAGAGTCCAGAGATAAGGTTTCATGTGCGTTCAGGATTACACATGATAGTCAGAATGGCCTTTTCCTGATGAATGAAAAGGCTTGGCTCAATAGATTGGACTCCAACACATGACTTCAACGGTCCTGAAATAAATGCAAGGCCTCGAGGGGGTCAGAACCCTTGGGCCTCTTAAAAGAGTAATTATATGTTAGGGGACACGAGTTGGGGCTGAGAGAAATTAGAATCCATTCGACAAATGCTTTTTAAACACTACATGCCAGCCACTATTTCAGGTGTTAGGGATTCAACAGCAAAGGAAACTAAATCCTTATTTTCATGAGCCTCCATCATACTAGAGAAGATGAACAATAACCACCCAAACAAGTACACACACACACACAGAATGTGAGATAATACTAAGCACTTATGTGAAATAATGATCCTTCTTCATAATTGAAAATTACATGCCCTTTAGATTTAAAAAGTATAATTTCAGAAAATAATATTTTATATATATATATATATATCGATGTTTCTAGCTTTAAATTATGTGTATCAGATAATGCCAACCAAAGCTGTACCACTGTTGTGAAATTATTTTACTAAATTGTAACATCAGTCTCACTTGTTAAGGTCACTTATAATATTCCTGTGTTACAAATACTTATTTTGCAATAATATGCAAGTGAGTTTAATATATACAAATGAATTCATGGCAGATTATGAATAGCACATGTATTTGATTTTAGTGGAAATGTGAGGGCCTGAACTTATGGTACTTGTGCTAGAGGAAGCGGCAGACTTTTGGTTTAAAAATAATAAATAAATAAATAAATAAGGTGATTGATGAATTGAAATGAGGGAGAATTCATGAAATTATTTAAAGCATTTTGACAAGGTCTCAAGCACCAGTTTCTCAAATTATATAATATGGGCTGTATTTTGCAAACACAGTGTGCTATTACAATGAAGGTGTAATGGTACTTCAAGACCAAAGGTCACACTGAAAAATTTGTAGCATGTGAATGGTTTCTTTGGCTCTAAGAATTTTCGTGGCTTCTCAGACTTTAATTTTACTATGTTTCTGTTCTAATGATAGGAAAACTTAAAGTCACCTAAAATACATTAATCTGGCATGTTTAAACAAATGTGGATATACTATACTTAAAATTTAACACCAAACATTAGCATGTTAATTTGATACGGAAGCCAACAAAGTGACACATAATTCAGGGTCCCTAAACAGATTCACCTTTGTGTTCGGATTCACTAGATCTTGATCTACATACAAGTATGCACACACATTTCCCCCTACTTCTTCGTAATGGCTTAGGTTCACGGGAATCATGGGGTTATAGATAGTGCTGGCAAAAATGAAACAAATTAATGAGCTGGGTGCAGTGCTGACTGTTTTTCATTACTGATTTCTTTTATCCCCATCACAGCCCTATAAGGCACGTAATTCTATTCTGTTCTATAGTAGAAGTTTGAAGAGATTGATGTCTTGCAGCTAATCAGTGGCTGTGGCCAGGGTTTGAACCCTCCAGTGTACTATCTCCCAACAGGAGATAAGGCACAAAGCACACTTGGATAGCAACAAAGCTCAGAGGAGAACCTAGTTTGCCTAGTCCTCAGTCCAGGGTGACCTCCCTTAGTTACCACCGTTCTGGAAATTCTCTCTTAAGTTTACCACACAGGTCATCATTGCCACCACTAAAGACTTCATGATTCTGCTACCCTTGGCACTAGTAGTGCCAGCAGTAGTGATAAGCAACACTATATATTATCTTATTTAATCCTGTGACATAGCCTGCCCAGTGTTAGGCAGCCAGCCGCCGTTGGAAATAGGATTCAGATCCAGGTCTGCTGATTCCACATCCTGAGATGCTAACCAAAGATGGTGGTCCATTTGTACCCAGTGAATAGCCTGTTCTGTAGTCTGTAGCTGGCTGTCATCTATATTATAAGGAGCTAAAGGCAGAATACTCTGGGGGATGCGCGCCCCCTGCTGGCTCTGCACCATGTATCAGCCAGATGGCCACATTTCCCCAAGTCTGTGGTTGTTTATATTGGTGGAGAACCAGCGAGTCAGTCCCTCTCTGTTACCTTTGGCTCCACTAAAAGCTAAGAGAAAAACAACAGAGGGTGAAGAAAGGAAGATCTAAAAAACTAGGACTGTTTTAGAAGTGGTTAGTCGTGCTTGAAAACACACTTTCTGCATGATTTCAGTGTTGCAAATCAAAGGACTTCAAGTGTTAAGTGTAAGATCCTCCACCCGTGGTGGGCTATTTAAAAGTGCTTTGCCTCTAAT